GGGGGAAGAGGGCTTACCTGCTGCTGCTGCTGCCTCCTCCTCCTGCTCTGCGTGGAGCTCTTCCCCACCCACCCCCGCGAGTATCGTGGGTCCCCTTTCTTGTTCACATATAAAGCTGTGTTGTCTATATGTATTTTTTAAAAAAAACAGAAAACAGAGTGTGAAGAAGAGGGAAGCAAAACCCTGCCCTTCCTTCCATTATTGTACTTTGCTTCTTGAAGAGTTTTGTCCTCAACTGAACTCTGACATCTGAACTTGCTTGGACTGGGGAGAATATTGCTTCCAGGGCAAGGGCACAGCAAGATAAGGCAGGGGATGAGGAAGACTTTAGCTGCCCTTGCCTGCATGCTCTGTTTTGGGTCGAAAGGAGACCCTATCCCTTGCTTTATACAAGAACAGGGCGAGACTTGGATAAATGCACGGGGATGCCCTTGTTTTCACATCCAGTTTGGCCTCCATCCAGCTGATCTTTATTATTAAAAATTCAGTGCTGCTTTATCACCATGTTCAAAGCAGTTTACATGACTAAAATCACAGAAAGATAGAAACCTGAAGACAAATGGCCTATATATAACCGTAATGACAGCCTACACAGAATTTTCAAAATGGCCTACATATTCAGCAGCAGCCCTCCAGCCCTTAACATGAAAAAGAAACCCCTTTGAAAGAGAAAAGCCTTCCATAATTTCTGAAATCTGGGGAGGAGAGGAGCTCTGCATTTCTCCTCTGGGAGACTATTATTCTGTGGACTTGGCATTGCTATGGAAAAGGCATGCAATGTAGCTATGGAGGACCATGCTTGCCTAAAGGAAGGCACTGAAGGAGCAGCTGCTCCATAGACCTCAGTCGGCATGTAGGTTTATACAGGGACAGGCAGTGCTTTGGGTCCCAGATTGCAAAGGACTTTCAAGGTAATCACCAGCCCTTTTGAGTTAACCCAGAAACACTCAGGAAACCTATTCAACAGTTTCAAAAGGATGTTTGGTGACCTCGAGAGCCAGTTTGGTGTAGTGGGAGAACTGGGAGAACTGGGTTTGATTCCCCACTCCTCCACATGCAGCTGCTGGTGTGACCTTGGGTCAGTCATAAATTCTTTCAGAGCTGTTCTCTCAAGGGCAGTTCTTCAGAGAGCTCTCTCAGCCCCACCTACCTCACAGGGTGTCTGTTGTGGGGAGGGGAAGGGGAAGGAGACTGTAAGCCACACAGAGACTCCTTCGGATAGTGAAGGGCAGGGTATAAATCCAATCTCCTCCTCCTCCTCCTCCTCCTCCTCCTTCTTCCTGTCTTATCTTTACCTACCCCAGCCCAGAGGGTTGTTGTTTGGCTGCTGTTTGTACCAAGTGTAGGGCCGCTGAAAAGTACGCAAATGGAGAGTGATTTCAGCAAAGCGTACTTTATTCTATCCGGAACAAGACGGACTTTGGCCGGCTCATAGGCCGGCTTATATTCCCCGAGAAACTGCCACCCAAAACACCCCCTCACTTCCCAATAGGTTATTTACAGCGGCCGAGAGTCCCATTGGCTCCTGGCCAGGAACCTAGCCCCCAGATTGGAGCGGGCTAGGATCCGCATAGTCCATTGTCTCTTGGAGCGAAACTCTGCGTTTGTCTCTGGACTTGTTTGGACATGTCTGGACTTGTCAGGACTTGATACACCACAGCTGCCAAGTCCCCCCGGGGGGCAGGGAAACCCCCACCCCAGAGGCCCGTTTCCCGCCAGCGGCGGATTGGGCCCCGGGGGGAAACCCACCCCGGCATGCGCGTTACCAGGAAGTGACGTTCCCCTCGGATGGTCATGGCCCCGCCCCCAGCGTGCCCGGCGTCATAACGTCACTTCCTGGTGACGTGCGTGCGGCACGCGGGCTCCGGGATCCACCCAGGAGTCCCCCGCTGCTGAGGTAAGTTACACTTGGCAACCCTAACCAAGTGAATATTCCAAGAGACCTTCAAACAGCTCCACATACCACACATTACTGTAATCCAGTCTGAAGGTCACAGAATCATGGATTGGTGTGGTTAGGTTTGCTGAATCCAAGAGGAAGGAAAATCCTGCTGACCAAGAGTAGGTAACAAAATGTACACAATACAGTGTACAACAACCGGCTCTGGCAGGAGTCCAAGAGCACACCCAGACTTTTGCCTTGGCCCATGATCACTCTATTCTCTCTGAAAGGCATGAGTCCTGGCTGGTCTGGATATAGTTTCACTGTGTTCGCCCACATCCACTGGCTTCACCAGCATGAGCACAACAGGTTATCAACAGGTGCATTGGGAAAACGGTATTCGTCCCTTGCTTTAGATATTTCGTCTGACTCAGAAAACAAGTTCCACGTGAACCAAAAATGGGTTCTATGTGAACCTGTTAGTCTGTTACAACCAACAGAACAATAGTGACATAAAAGACTAGCACATTTCCTGTGCCACATTTTTTGTTTGTTTACATTTATACCCTGCTTTTCTCCCCCAATAAGGACACAAAGTGGCTTACATTATTCTCCTCTCCTCCTTTTTATCATTACAACAACCCTGTGTGGTAGGTTATGCTGAGAGTGTGTGATTGGCCCAAAGTCATTCCTAAACTAGAGTCTACTTCATCAGATGCATGGCACTCAATAGGCATTAAATATACTACAGTAAAAACAAAAGCCATGAATATACGATTAAGTTTGCACAGAAATGATGCAGCTTGTACCTCTTACATCTCATGGCCTTCTGACCCATTCTTACCTATTTTCCTCTATGTCCTCTATGTCCATATTTGTATGCATGTGTGTGTCTGCCAACTGAAGAAACATTTCACAATTCTGATAAAGTAGACCTTAGTCAACAAATGTTTCTGCCACCAGAAATCTGTTAGTCTTGCTGCATAACTCCTTTTT